GTTTATTTTCTAAACATAACGTCCCAGTGGCTTTTAAACCCCAAAATACATTACGGCAAAGACTGGTTCATCCCAAAGATCCAGTCCCCCGGCACAAACAGAGTAATGTTGTGTATGCTGTTCAGTGTCAGGAGGGTGATCAGTCTTACATCGGGGAAACTAAACAGCCACTGGCCAAAAGGATGGCCCAGCACAGAAGATCAACATCATCAGGCCAGGACTCTGCGGTCTACACTCATCTCCAGGCCAGCGGTCACTCTTTCAAGGATGAAGATGTTCACATCCTGGACAGAGAGGAACGATGGTTTGAGAGAAGAGTAAAGGAGGCCATCTTTGTGAAAAGAAATCGTCCATCATTAAACAGGGGTGGAGGCCTCCGGGTTCAACTGTCCCCCTCTTACAATGCTGTGATTGCTAGTATCACTCAGCCCTCTGTGAACAGTAAACAGCCATCAGTGTGCTAATGATCCTTTGTTAGGCTGATGGTCCTTCCTGAGCATGTGATCAGCTGGTTTTGGTTGTCAGCAGCAAAACTGGTTGATCCACCCTGAGACGGTGCTATTTAAGAGACTGAGCTGAATACAGCACCTCAGACTGAGGAAGTCTTTTGGATGAGAGACGAAACGTTTCTACATTTTTTTGTTTTGTTTTTTGAATGTCCAGAGAACCAGATTTAAGTTTTTAAGATTTTTCTACCTGGATTATTGAGCATGCATCAGGATATTTACGGTAACTTGTTGTTTTTCCAGGTGCAGCTTTCTTTAAATCTATGGCAATTTATTTAAGGTAGCACAGTTGTCAGAGCATTTACAGCTACTGTATGTACTACAGGTAAGATATTAAATGTTCATAATTTTCCCAGAAACCCCCTCTTTAAAACCCTGCAACTATCTCTTTAACTGACTCACCTACGTCGACCCATCCAGGCCTGAGTTATAACAGATGTCAAGTTAATTATGGTTTAAAGACCAGAAACTGCTGCCGTGCACAAACGTTCTCTAAACAACCTGCATGTTTGGATGCGTTTTCAGAAGAACTCCTGGCATCGTGCGGTGCTGACGGCGGTCCACTCCGCCCACTCCGCCTTCACACAAACCATACCAGCCACCTTCTCCTCTCGGGTGGCAGCGCGCCAGCCTCCAACACATTATCTTCGCCTCTCTTCACTGTCCCAGAAAAATAAAAATAAAAGCGACTTGCCGGTGCTTGTGCAACATCAAGCTGAGACGTCAGATCGGAGGCCTGATGTCTGTCTGGACGTTTGCAGGCAGGAGGGTGTTCAGAGTTGACAAACAGCCGTGCGTCCTCACAACCTTTCAGGTCACAGCAAACACCGCTCAACGTCTGAATGGCTCACAGAACGCTGACGGGACTGAGCTGGAGTTTTTCTTTCACGATCACAACTGAAGTTTTATCGTTCTTGGAGATTTGTCCACGTTTAGCTTATTGGAAGAGCGTCACACATTCTTACGTTTGATACGTCTTAACTTCAAAACACTCCCACAGCCTCCTGCACAGTTCAAAGCAGACATGTTTGTCTTTTTTAACCCGTGCGTAAGCAACTGGTTAAAATGACGGATGATGCAAAGATTAAGAAAAGGGCCAAAGAGGAGATTTATAGATACAGTTAGAGGACATGAAGATAAACGGATTGAGGACAGCTGCAAAGAAGGAGAAGCCAAACGAAGAAGATGAACGTATGATACAATATGGTAAACAATATATTACAATATGTTATGATACAATATGATAATCAATATATTACAATATGTTATGATACAATTTGATAATCAATATATTACAATATGTTATGATACAATATGATAAACAATATATTACAATATGTTATGATACAATATGATAAACAATATATTACAATATGTTATGTTACAATATGATAATCAATATATTACAATATGTTATGATACAATATTATAATCAATATACTACAATATGTTATGATACAATATGATAAACAATATATTATAATATGTTATGATACAATATGATAAACAATATATTACAATATGTTATGATACAATATGATAAACAATATATTACAATATGTTATGATACAATGTGATGATATATGATACGTTTTGATACAATACAATGTGATATATGTTATGATATGACTATAATATGATATGAATGATAAATGATATGTTTTGATATTATATATTGTTATGATATGATATGTTATAAAATGATCTGAAAGATATAGGATATGATGTTGTGATGTGACAAGATACAATACGATATGATACAATGTGATGTCACGTGATATGTTATAGATAGGGTTTGATACAATATCTTTATTTTATATCAGTATTTTTATCTTTTGTGTTTTTATGTCTTATATTATGTAAAGAACTTTGTGGTTTCTGACCTACATAAACAATGTTTACTTACAATACAAAACAATATGATGCAATTGGATATACAGTATGATGTGATGTGATATGTTACAACCCAATTTGATACAATACATTACTACAATATGATATGATATGACACATGTGATATATAATATTATAATACAATGTGACAAGATACAATACAATATATAATATATGATATGATGTGACAAAATACAATATGATATATTAGGATATGATATGAATGATATATGATATATTATGATATAATGTTATGATACATTAAGATACATTTTGTGATTTTATGATATATATGAATATAATGAGATACAATATCATGATATGATGATACAAAATGATATTATACGATATGACATGATTCAATACCGTACAATAAAATATTTTGTTTATGATTACAATAATATATGATATGATTACAATATGTTATGTTTTGAAATGATATGATATACACAGTAAAAATGATATGATTTAATACAACATCCTGTAGTATATAATATGAAACAGAACAATGTGCTATATGAGATATGATTTATTAGGTGATGCAAGTTGATATGGAATATGATTTGATACATTATGATATATGGCAGGATGAAATATGGTAAAGTGTACTTGATTGTCTCATTGTGGAATATTTCTGGACTCTGTGATATAAAACAAGTACGTAAGTAAGTAAACAAATGAACAAATAAATAACTGAACAAACAAACAGATAAATAAATGATAGAATAAATAAATAAATAAATAAAGCACTTACACAGGTTGTTAAACTGTTTTCAGTACTTGGATGGTATATGTTTCTGGTATAGTTCAGTGAATGGTAAAGGTACCTGTATGCCGTATCGCTCCCGGACTGACGCCCTCATGGCCAGAGAGGCTGGAGGCACACAGCTGATCCAGTCCAGCAGAGGCAGACAGGGACATGCTCCGGCTGCACTGGTCACCTTACAAGTAAACACTGGGAGGCAGCAACAGGCAAAACAACCTGCGTACATGTACACATACAGCTCTCAATCCCTGACTGAGTGTACGGCTCAGATTTAACATACTTTCAACATTATTTGGACCAGTTTTTAAGAAAGCTTTGTTTAAGAGTTTCTCAGTTCGTATCACAGTATGTACTTACAGTCTCCCATGTCTTTGTAGCACTCACACAGGCCAGTGCTCCACTGACCTGCCTCCTCAGCCCAGTCCTTTGGTTGACCCAGGATTACATGCTGGGACATTTTTCCACTGTCCATCCATAACAAAAGTTAGAGCAAAATATCAAATTCAAGTGAAATATTACAATATTTAAAGAAAAGACACTTGTTTTGACCAAATCCCCACATTTTCTTTCTTCTTTTTTTGGCTTTTCACTCTTCAGGGTCGCCACAACGAGTCATCCTCCTCCATCTCACTCCATGTCCTCTCTAACTGTTTGTTTGGATCCGGTATAACTCAGGCTTACCAATAATAAAGTTATGAAAAAATATGACTGCCTATTTTTTTCATCCAACCTTTATTTATACAGGTTAGTCTCATTGAGCCTCGAGGACTCGTTAATAAGAGAGACCGGTTTTAAACAAAGAACACAGATGAGCTGCAAACAAGAGACTGCCATATAAGAAGCATATAAAATGAAAAAGTAAACAGAAGAAATGAAATAAAAACAGCTACATTATAAAGCGACATAAAATACTAAAAACAGGAACATGTCTGCATTGGTTTGTGCCATGAACATAGTTGTTTAAAATCCCTTAGAGAGTTCAAGGTCGAGAGCTTCAGATCTTTTTGTAAGATGTTTCAGGAAACAGGAGCGGAGTAGGAGAAGGCCCTTTAGCCTAGTTCAGTCCTCACTGAGGGAACACTGCAGGTAATAATGTCCTGAGAGCGCACGCTGTAGCTGCACTCACGCAGAGACATGTAGGAGGAGATGTATGAAGGCAGCAGACCAAGAAGTGATTTAAAGATGAAAATGTACCAGTGAGAGAGTCTGTGTGAAGTTTATGGTGTCCAGTTAACCAGTGAATACTGGGTGCAGTGGTGGGTACGGTAGTAACAGCCAGTTATGAATCTTAGTGCACCATGATAGACAGCATCCAACATCTACAGGGTTCTTGTAGGAGCATTCATGTAAATAATGTCACTGTAGTCAATGGAGGAAAGGAAATTAACAGTTACAAGGCGTTTCCTAGTGTTCAGTGTTAGACCAGCTCTACTGGTATTTCTAAAAAAAGAAACCCAATTTAACTTTCAGTTTCCTTACCAAATTTTCAACATGAGGCTTAAAAGAGAGATGCGAATCGACCAAGATACCCAAATATTTATAAGGATCGACAAACACAATAGGGACACCATTCAAAGATAAAATAGAAGGAAGGACTGCTGGGACCGACTTCCTGTTTGAAAACAACATCCCTTTGGTTTTTATCAGCATTTAGCACAAGTTTGAGACAGAACAAGTCTGACTGGATGATGTCGAAAGCAGATTATAAATGCTGGAAAACCTCAGGAACTGTTTTAGCTCAACAGTAAACAACTGTATCGTCAGCATAGAAATGTAAGGATGCATCAGGAATGATCTGTCCAACTACTTTTGTAGATTGTGAGGAGGGTGGGTCCTAAGACTGAGCCTTGTGGTACACCATTGTTAACGGTTAGATAACTGAAAGAAGTGCCATTATGTTGAAGACATTGCCTCCAACCTGAGAGATAATTAGAGAACCAGCCAATAGTTTGGTCAGAGAAAACAATGTCTGAGAGCTTTTAACATAAGATGTCAAGGTCCACAGTGTCAAAAGCTTTAGACAGGTCTAAATAAAAAGCAGCACAATAATCCTTAGCATCAAGTGCTTCAACAACATTATTAAAAACCTTCAGCGACACAGCCTTGAATGAATAAAACTTATATGTAAACTGAAAATAAATACATAAACACTAATTTTAAACACAACAGCCAGTTACGAGCTTCTTAACATCACATACAAGCTGCCCATTCAAGTAGCATTTCCACGTCTATCCATAAAAAAAAGCTCTGCCCCTAAAAGAGTGGTGGGGGTGAGAGCCAAGGCAGGCAGTCGTATGCAGGCAGGAACCCAAAGGCAGCCACCATGAACAGACAGAGGAGGCTTCTGGAGCTTTCACATGTGGAGTCGGACAACAGGACAGTGAATTCAGTGAAGAGTCAGGCTCTGAACCGTCAAGTGGTGGTGGTGTTGGTGGTGGGGGGTAGGATGCTTGACAGAAGCGGAGCGTTTACAAATGTAGGTAAACATAGATTTTTAACCACCCAGTAAAATACACCAAAAAAAAATAGGAAATCACATCTACTTTATTCAAAATTATCTGGAGGAGGACCCCCACACTCCCTCGCTGGCCCGCCCACTATTTGCGTTCCAATATCGATTGGTTTACCAGTTACGCCGGTCTGACCTCTCAAACTTTATCTCGCAGTTGCTCAACCTGTGCTGTACCTCTGATGATCTTATTTTTAATCTTATCCATCCTTGTCACTCCTAAGGAGAACCTCAACATCTTAATTTCTGTCACCTCCAGTTATGTCTCCTGCCTTTTTGTCCATGTCTCTATCTCCAGACCATACAACATAGCTGGTCTTACCATTGTCTTGTAAACAACAAAGTCCATGCTCAATAATCCAGGTTATACAATCCAACATTTTTCAGTCAGGCCATCTGGACAGTTTCTTTTTTTGTGCTGAAACATTTCACCTTGCATCCAGAAGGCTTCATCAGTCAAGGAAACACACAACACAAAACTGATTCTTCCCCCAACAGCTTACTCCAAAGTGGAACAAACCAGTCATGTTGGTGCTAAGATGGTGTCTTTGGCATGCCCCGTCCTCCATTGCCGGCCCTCTTCCTTGTTGACAGTCATGTCAAACTTGTTGAAAACTTGTCTTGTAAATTTTTCCTTTGACATTTGCTTCCACCCGTTTGCAGCAAATCACTCCAGAAACTTTTCTTCCTGCACCTTTGTGACCTCTGCTCCTTGTAGCCTCAATGTTCCACCGGCCTCCCTCTCATTTACACACATGTACTCTGTTATGACATTCCTCTTTTTTCAAGTACATACCTCCAACTCTCTAATTTCCCTACTCCCACCACAGATCACAATGTCATCTGCAAACATCATAGTTCACGGGAATTCTTGCCTGACCTCATCTGTTAGTCGGTCAATCACCAGAGCAAACAAGAAGGGGCTCAGAGCCAATCCTTGATGCACTCCCACCTCTACCTTGAAGCTATCTGTCACTTCTACAGCCCATCTCACCACTGTCCTGCTGTCCTCATACATGTCCTGCACCAGTCTAACATACTTCTCTGCCACTCCAGATTTCCTCATGCAATACCACACCTCCTCCCTCTGCACTCTGTCAAATGCTTTTTCTACAAAGTAAATCCACAAAGACACAATGGAGTTCTTTCTGACTCTCTCTATACTTCTCCATCAGCATCCTCAAAACAAAGATGGCATCTGTGGTGCTCTTTCTCAGCTTGAAACCATACTGCTGCTCACAAACTGTCACTTCTCGTCCAAGTCTTGCTTCCACAACTCTCTCCCAGATCTTCATTGTGTGACTCACCAACTTAATTCCCCTGTAGTTTGACAGGTTTGACAGGATGACAGGTTTCGTTTATTTATCATATGCAAATCAACACAAGGTCAACAGTGCAACGAAATGCTGAGGCTGAGAAGAACTGTTTCGACACGCCCAAAAAAACAACAACAACACAAAAACAAGGCGCCAAATGAGAAAAAGAAATACATCTACAGTGTGGTTCAGTTAGCAGTGAGGTTCTTTCAGCAGCATGGTTCTGTTAAAAAAATCTGGCCTCTGATTGGCTGCCCTGTGTATCAATCATGAGTGCTATTGTTTACACATGTGTGGTGACCTATGTGTCAGAAAAGATTGGTCTCAGATTGGCTGCCCTGTGTGATTATCAAGTGACGATTTGCATAGTGAAGATGGATTGATCAGCTGATGTCTATTTAAATTTTTTTTTTTTTAAAGGGCTTACATCTATATCGCCGTGTGATTTACTGATATTACCTTCACGATTATCTTTCTCCTCCACAACACATCCAACATGTGGAGCATAACCACTGGCAACATTTGGCATCAGACCTTCTACTTCTACCTTCAGGCACATCACTCTATCTGACACTCTTTTCACCTCTACTACATTCTTTGCCATCTCCTCCTTCAGGTCCACCCCTACTCCATTTCTCTTTCTACCCACACCATGGTAAAACAGTTTAAATCCTGTTCCAAAACTGCAAGCCGTGCTGCCCTTCCACTTGGCCTCTTGGACACATAAACATCTACCTTCCTTCTCAGCATCATGTCAGCCAGCTCTCTACCTTTGCCCGTCATTATCTCCACATTTAGAATTGCAACCCCCAGTCCTACATTCTTGACTTTCTTATTCTCCCTCTGTCTCCTGACACGTTTCCCTCCTCGTGGTCTTCGACTAACAGCAGTACAATTTCTGCCGTCACCCTGTTTGTCAACAGCACTGGTGGCGGTCGTTGTTAACCTGGGCCTCGACAGATCTGGTATGGTGTCGCTTTGATGAACTTACATGTTAGTTTTGGCACAAGTGTTTCACCATGGATGCCATTCCTGACACAATCCTCACCATTTACCTGGGCTTGGGACTGGCACAGAAGGTACACTGGCTTGTGCTCCCTAGAAGCTGGTTTGAATCTCCACATTTAACTTTCCATTTCAATCTTCTACCACTTAACTGTGGTCAGATGATGGAGGCAACAGCTGCACAAGATAAACCCAGACCTCCCTCACCCCAGTGACTCTCTCCAGCTCCTCTTGGAGGCCCCCAAGGTGTTCCCAGGCCAGAGAGTATATACTATCCCTCCAGCAAGTTCTGGGTCTGCCCTAGGTCTCTTCCTAGTGGGACATGCCCAAAAAAACTCCAAAGTAATGCATCCAGGAGGCATCCTAATCAGTTGAACAACGTCAAATGACTACTTTAGATGAGAAAGGGCAGTGGCTCTAGTCAAAATTATCCCCAACATGATGGATCTCCTCCCCCTTTTTCTAAAGTTGAGCCTGACCACGCTACGAAGGAAACTCATTTTGGACACTTGTGTCAAGGATCTCTTTCTTTCTGTCGTGATCCAAACCTCATGACCACAGACGAGGGTTGGAACATAGACAGACCAGTAAACTGAGAGCTACCATTCGACTCAACTCTTTTTTCAT